GCCAATTTGAGAGAGGGGCAGGTTCTATAAAGGCATGCAACATTGTCCTGCCACCTCCAGTAGCTATCCAAATAGAAGTGGATCGTTTCTCATCACTACTATTTTGGAAAACGAAATATTTGGAAGATCATCTGAACCTGTTCCTCAAGAAGCTTCCAAGACCGCAACTATGTTCTAAAAGCAGCCCTGTGTTGACGTTGTTGCTATACTACCAAAATCTGGGCTCTGGGACCCCTGTGCCACAAAAGTATCTGGGGGTCACATTCAGCTTTTATGTTGTTTGGGCTTCTGGGAACCAAAGTCCACAATTCTGGAAGGTTTAAGACGACTATTCTAGGAGGTCACACTTCTGCTTATGAAACCTCCTAGCAATGGCACTGGAGGAGTTTGTCCTCAGTCTAGATTGGGCCTAGGTAAATTTTGGCCTTCCCACTGGCTGTTAGGAATTGTGGAAGCTGAAGTCCAAAACATCTGGAGGGCTGAAGTTTGCCCAGAACCTGGTCTTGATCTAGTACAAATAGACTGCTCAGTTTAAAGACTTGAGTATGTGAAAGTGGCCCATGTAATACCTAAGGTCTCTCCTTCCATCACAACATAAAACATCATGATAAACAACAGGTACAAAGAAAGGACTGTTTCAGACAATACCATTAGCTATGACCTGCAAGCTGTCCACCTCGCCAGTAAAGAAGTTTTCCTCTCTCATCTGCGGAATTGCACCCAAGGAACATGGCAGGTATCTTAGAAAATCCAAGAACACACACAAGGTCATATTTTCTGGCATATGGGGATAGTAAAATACTGGGTTGTTGTAGGGTTTTTTTTGGGGGGGCTATATGGCCATGTCCTAGAGGCATTCTCTCCTGATGTTTCGCCTGCATCTATGGCAAGTATCCTCAGAGGCTATGAGGTCTGAGGATGCTTGCCATAGATGCAGGCAAAACATCAGGAGAGAATGCCTCTAGGACATGGCCATATAGCCCGAAAAAACCTACAACAACCCAGTGATTCCAGCTATCAAAGCCTTCGACAATACATAGTAAAATACTGTTTTCTTGGACAACACCCATATGTAGCTTTGGGTTACTCATCTCATAGAGAATGTGAGAGAACATCCAAGAGAACATCTGAAGATCAGGCAAATTCAAGATTTCTAATAGGAAAAGGTGTTCTTTTACCATTTCCTTGTGTTTGTATTTTCAGCACATTATGATAACACTGTGGCATACAGTCATGGTCTAGCTGGCACAAAATTGTGCAGCCAATGGAAAACTTGGCAAGGAAGATTATGAACACATCCACACTGCAGAGTTATAGCAGTTTAGTACCACTGGCAATTATTTGGGTTCTGAAATTCAATGTTCAGAGAGCTCTATGAACTCCCCAAACCAGATTACAGGGCTGTCTAGAAAAGAATACAAGTATCTTGCCAAATTATAGGCCCCGGGATTCCATAGGATCGAACCATGGCAGTTAAGAGTGGTACCAAAATACAATAGTGTAGACATACTCTGTAATATGGCTGAAATAACCAACATGCAAGAAAGATGCCATTCTGACTACACCAAATCCATTCCCAGTCAGAATTTCATCCTGTCTAGGAAAGATGGAGACTGTTAAATAATTTTCAGCAGGTGTTTTCTAAATTCCTTTTAGGTTTTGTGTGTCTATGTGTAGGTTGCTAGGTGAATATACCAAAGGCTAATGTTCCAAGTAGCATGAGAGTGCATTTAAAAAGCACTGGATCAACAATGCCCTAAAATCTAGTTTCAGAATGTGGATTAACTGCATTGATTTGGATTGCAGGGCAGTGTAGATTGATATAATCCAGTTCAATGCAGTTAATCCACATTCTGAAACTGGATTTTAAGGCAGTGTCGATTCAACCTCAAGACAGTATCAGGACTGTACGGTTTCAGGGTGCAGGTTGGGCTCAATGATAAGAAGCTCCGATACAAGATAGAAGATTTCCGCAGAGAGAACACTAGATATCCGAGAAAAGGCAGATAGAAACCTTTGCCCCATATCTAGTGTCTAGCTGCGTATAGGTATGTTTGTTTCATCGAGAACAGTGCAGAATTAGTGAATCTTCATCAGCATAGGAAAAGATACACTTGGAAGGCAATAATTCTCGGCCGCGATGGTGAAAAGATACAACCCAGAAAAGATATATCTGCTACCTTAACCTAAGAGAAGGAAATCAATCGCCATTATGTTGTGCTACCTGAAAATGGAAATACGGGTTCTGTTGACGATTTAGCAGCCAATATTTTTCAATTAATTTGAGTACTAAAACAGGAAGAAGGTCCTTGGTTTTGCAAATTAATCCCTGTGTTGTAAATATAAGAGTTAATTATTATTTTTTCCACATAAGGACCGGAAGGAAGGAAGGAAGGAAGGAAGGAAGGAAGGAAGGAAGGAAGGAAGGAAGGAAGGAAACAGAAAGAGAGAACCAGCTCCTTACTTCGTGCTACAACTGGGCAAGAAACTTTAGGAGAGTGAGAGTACAGGGATGAGCCACCCAACATAAAACTCTCAAAAAATACCTTAAATTCACATCTTACATATCTTCCACTCATCCTGTTTTAAAATTACAGGTATCAGTCCATAAATGATCCATGATGGCAGTGTTATAGCACTAAACATTTCACACTCTCATACCCGAGAGAATTACATAATGATGGCGACAAAGCTAGGTGGGAATAAAAAACCATCATCTTTGTCATTACTTGCTCCAGAAGGTAGGAATGTTGCCCAAACCTGCAACCGCACATGCATTTTATCACAACACAGACAAGGCTCTTGCTATGCTGAGTCTGTAATAAGGAAGGGTGGAGCAGAGCAATTGTGGCTACAGACTTCCTCCTTCCCTCCCTCCTTCCATGTGTAATTTCTCCACCTTCAGGCTCACCTGATGCTTGTTTGCTGGATGCCAGATTGGAACAGAAGCTAAGAGAGTTACAGCAAACACCAGTCCCAAATAGACCTAATTTAGTGGGTTGCTGTGAGTTTCCCGGGCTGTATGGCCATGTTCCAGATGCATTCTCTCCTGACGTTTTGCCCACATCTATGCCAGGCATCCTCAGAGGTTGAGGGATCTGTTGGAAGCTAAGTAAGTGAAGTTTATATATCTGTGGAATGTCCAGGGTGGGGAAAGAACTCTTGTCTGCTTGAGGTACGTGTGAATGTTGCAGTTTGCCACCTTGTTGGCATTCATGGCCTGCAGTTTCAAGGCCTGGCTGGTGGCTGTCTGGGGAAATCCTTTGTTGGGAGGTGTTAGCTGGCCCTGATTAATTCAGAGAAGTCAGCCATAGCAGAGCACCTGATGAACCAATCTGGACACAGCATATTATTTGTGAACATAGAAATACTGGACCACTCCAACAACTACTATGTCAGGCTACACAGAGAAGCCACTGAAATCCACAAGTATGTGGATAATTTCAACAGAAAGGGGGAAACCATGAAAATATGGCTACCAGTATTTTAAAAATTCTAAAATCAGAACAGTAAATAAAGAGCAATACTCAAAAAGCCGGAGAATTCCAGATAAGAATCAATCAAGGCCAGCTAACACCTCCCAAAAACGGATTGCCCCAGGCAGCTACCAGACAGGCCTTGAAACTACAGGCCATTAATGCTAATTAAGGTGGCAAATTGCAGCATTCATACATACCTCAAGCAGACAAGAGTTCTTTACCCCACCCTGGACTTCCACAGATATATAAACGTCAGAAGAGAATGCTTCTGGAACATGGCCATACAGACTGAAAAACTCACAACAATCCAGTAATTCCGGCCATGAAAGCCTTTGACAACAGATTAAATTTAGTTGGGACTTATTGCTCCCATACATTTCATTTGCTCTTCCCTAGGGAAAAATTTATTAAGGGTGTACAACTGGTACTGAACTCCCAACCATCCTAAGATAACAGTGAGGGTTCATAGGAGTTGTAGTCCAAAGGCACCTGAAAGCTGCCAAGTTGTCCGCCCTCAATTTAGCCCCATTCATGAAGTCCCAAATCTATTTGATTTCTACTGCCTGATCTTTTTAGAACAGTGGTTCTCAACCTGTGGGTCCCCAGATGTTTTGGCCTTCAACTCCCAGAAATCCTAACAGCTGGTAAACTGGCTGGGATTTCTGGGAGTTGTAGGTCAAAACACCTGGGAAATCACAGGTTGAGAACCACTATTTTAGAAGAAGTTTCCATGGGTATTCTGCAACACATAGACTTGACCCACTTGTCACCTAAACCTCAAAATGTGAGAGACCAACTCCAAATTGGGTTTGATGGAGAAAGCCACTGCTCCAATGCCTGACATACAAGCATCTGGTGAGCTTAGATGTGGGACAGACATACGGAGACATAGGGTGCAATCCTTCAATACTCTACAACAGCGGTTCTCAGCCTGTGGGTGCCCAGATGTTTTGGCCTTCAACTCCCAGAAATCCTAACAGTTGGTAAACTGGTTGGGATTTCTGGGAGTTGTAGGCCAAAACACCTGGAGACCCACAGGTTGAGGAACCACTGCTCTACAATGTATTCCACCATACAAAAGGATAATGCATCCCCCAGTTTCAATTTCATCCCAAGAGCTCTACAAGACCTTCCTTGGCATGGCCTGATGAAGACAGCGACACATTTCTGAATCCAATCGTTCTATGGATACGTTTAGAATATTCCACTTAGTTGAAAATATTAAGGAAATCAGTGAGGCATTCAGCTTTCCTCCTCCTCTGCTCGTCCTGCACAATTTCAATTCATCCTTCCCATCCACCTAAAAACCACCATGCTCACAATAGAGAGGGGCAAAAAAAAATTAAAAAACAAAATAAAATGTTTAAAAAACATTTTTTGTCAAACTACAGATCTGCAAAAAACCAACAAAACAAAACAAACGGTCGAACGAAACAGTCCTTTTATGGCTTTGATCTCCCTTGTGAAGGGCAAAAAAGTAGAGGAATATTGCCACACTGAAAAATGTAAAAAATAATAATATGCGTTCCTATCTATTGGCAGGCGCGGCTTTTCACGCCGTGTCACTATTTGTTCTCCTTCGTTTGTGGCTGTGGGTCTTTGCAGTACTTATTAGGGACCCCAGACACGTGCTAATGCCAGCGAGGTGGAGTAGAGACCCCGCGGCTTCTTTCAGTTCCTCGTCAATCTCTTGGCACAGCTCCTCCAGGACTTTCTGGCGAGGAGGGGCCTTCTCCGAAACCCCTCCGCACGGCTGCGAGGTGTAACCGCTATCCGCCAGGGGGTCGTCGTCCTCTTCGTCATCATTGTCATCCTCATCTTCGTCGTCGTCATCTTCCGAGTCCACCTCGCTATGGAACCCTTCGCTGCCGTCGCTGCCCGTCCGGCTGCCTTCTGAGACAAAATCATAGACTTCATCAATGGAGGACAAAGAAGACACGCTGGAGAGCGATGCGCAGCGTTGTGATGCCACGCTGCTAGCGCTATAGTTGTGATCCGCCTTGGGGTCGACGCTGGCGACTGCCAAATCGCTGTTATTCTGGCTTGTCACCCCATGGTTGTGGAACGTGCTGCCGTAATTCCTCTTTTTTGAGAGCTTGAGAGGTTGCGGCTTCTCACCTGAATGAAAATGAGCATCTTATTAGCACCTGGGATAAGCAGACAAAGAAGTTACAAATTCCACAATAATCAAGGACGCAACTTGACCCGAGAAAGCAAGGTCCTGGGATTTGGAAATCATTGTCTAAAAAGGTTTTGGAAGCAGAGAAACAAGGGATACATCGACACACATGAACACTAATAAACATGGCCCAACTTTGTGGAATCACGGGAGAAGTACTTGGGTGAGGAACCAACACTCTTTGGTAGAGAAGGCTAAGGAGCTTGTAAAACTACAACTCCCATGATTCCATAGCCTAGAGCTATGGCAGTTAAACTGGTGTGAAACTGCACTAATTATACAATGTAGATGCACCCAAAGTCTGCCTTTGTTTTCCAACCGATTCCTTTTGCTATTACTGGAGGCAACTAAAAAGTCTGAGGTTCTTCACATCCATCATTCTAATTTTTTCTCCATCCATTTCCATTTATGTTTAATTTTAGACAATAATCCTTCCCCACCTTCCAACCCCCACCAGAACATTGTCAATACACAGCAGATATGGGCAACCTGTGGCATAAATGAGATCCATGGCTATACAGGCTCTTGCGACGACTCATCTCCCCAGATCTTATGAAATATACTTTTTTGGGGGGAGTATGGTTTCCAGAAACTCCAGCCAATGTGGTCACTGAGTGATTTTAAGGGATGGTAATCCAAAAATCAATGTTTCCAAGTCCAGTGCCTATTTCTGCCCACAGCTCAGCTGATTAGACAGTGGTTTAACCCAAGGCAAGGGAGAAGAGCCATTACTTGTTGGTGCCCTCATCAATGATGTTCAGAAGACCCTTCTTTCAAGACGCAGCTTTAAGACAACTGCCAAGCAGTATGGCTATTAACCGATCGCCTGCTTTGGGGGTCTCCTAAGTTAGTTAAGAACACCTTCTAGCAAGAAATGACACATTAATTACCGTATATACTCGAGTATAAGCTAGCTCGAATATAAGCCGAGGCACCTAATTTTACCAAAAAAACCTGGTAAAATTGACTTGACATATTGACTTGAGTATACGCCGAGGGTGAGAAATGCAGCAGCTACTGGTAAATTTCAAAATAAAAATAGATGCCAATAAAATTACATGAATTGAGGCATCAGTAGGTTAAATGTTTTTGAATATTTACATGAAACTGTAATTTAAGATAAGATTGTCCAACTCTGATTAAATCGTTATTCTAATTTTCTTCAATGTAAATGTGCTTAAGTATCCTTCCAATAATAATAAATAAAATAATAAATGTAATAAAAATAATAGAGTAAAATAATAAATGTAACAATAAAAGTAGAGTAAAATAATAAATAATAACAGAGTAAAATAATAAATGTAATAATGATAGAGTAAAATAATAAATATAATACAAATAATAATAACAGAATAAAATGATAAATCCTCCTATGAACCTACTAGGACATTAAGATCGTCTGGGAAGGTCCTGCTCTCGGTCCCGCCTGCATCACAAGTACATCTGGCATGGACGAGAGACAGGGCCTTCTCAGTGGTGGCCCCTCGGCTGTGGAACGTCCTTCCTACAGATATTAGATCGGCCCCCTCCTTGTTAGCATTTCGGAGGAAAGTGAAGAACTGGTTGTTCGAAGAGGCATTTGATTAGGCAGTGTAATGAATACAGGAATATGGAACAATTGGATGATGAAACTGGATCCTGATTCTAATTATGAGACGCTAACGAGATATTTATTGATGTATAATTGATTGTTTAATATGTTACTGTTTTAATCGTTTTTAACTGTTTTACGTTGTTCTGAGCACTGAATTTTGCTATTGTTAACCGCTTTGATCCGCCCGAGGGGTGAGAAAAGTGGTATACAAATATAGTAAATATAAATAAATAAATAACATTGACTCAAGTATAAGACGAGGGGAGCTTTTTCAGCCTAAAAAAAAGAGCTGAAAAATTTGGCTTATACTAGAGTATATACGGTATGTGTCATATGAAATACTTCCATCTTCAGCTAATCAATTTCATTAGAGTTCTGGTGTTATGTGTGGCAGAGGGAGAAAACCTCTTTTGTTTCAGTTCCTCAAAAGGTATGCATTTGTTGTACAACCCATCAGCATAGATGCACTCTTAAGTCTCACTGAACTAAACATATCTTGGCTCTGATAGGTAGAGAACTGGACTGTTCGTTTCTGTTTCTGTATCGGGTGCATTTAGTATAGTATTAATCAGTTTGACACCACTTTAACACCATGGCTCAATGTTATGGAGTCTTTGGCACCGGCACACTTTTAGCAGTGAAGGCGAAATACTTGGTAAAACTACACCTCCCGTGAATTGAAATGGATTATCAAAGCAGCAGGCTTTAAAGGGGTTACAAAAGATGTATTTACAGTCTAAAATGCCTTCTTCAATTGAAGTATTCAAGAGCATCATGGCAGTAGCAGCATCAATATCGGAGTCTGAAAAGGAAAAGAAAAAATAAGCAATAAATAAGATTCTTTTTTGAAGGAAGAACACTAATGCACATTAGGGGAAAAAATAGGATAACCAATTAAGTTAAGGGTCTTGCCCAAGAGTACCTAGTGAGCCTTACAGGCATAAGCCTCTGAACACCGTTCCCACAAATCCAAGGTCAAAGGCTTCAGACATACAGACTCTCCAGAAGAGGGAAATAAGCTTCACTCCAGATCGGATCATTGCAAAAGCAAATTAAAAATGGATGAACAGTATTCTCAGATGGCACCCAAGTTCCCTTTAAAAGTTTAGCTATTTAAGTGCCAAGTTAGAAGGGAGAGGCCGGCTGTCGTTAGAAACAAAGGATGGGGGGAGCACGGGGAAGAGGAAATGCAGACTAAGTAGCTTGAAAAACATAAATAATAAATGGGAAGTAGATTGAGATTTAGATGAATCATGATTGCAAATAAGAGTTGTTAAAAAAACACGAAGCAGAACGAGCGTTCAGACTAAACAAGGACAAGAAATTGGGTAAAGACTGCAAGGTGGCATAAAGAGAGTACAAAAAGGCAGGGTTTTGTTTTTTTGATACACCAGGAATAGGAATATGTCACTTCCAGATGTTGTTGGGCTCTACGTTGCAGTCTAACAAGATCTAAAAGTCCACAATTTCCCCATTTCTGTCATGCTACAAGATAATGGCAATAGTTTCTGTAAACATTTATTCCTGGATAAGGCCCAATGAAAGAATAATGCAATAAACCAAGATTAATTAAACTTTGTGTTGTACCGCTACTATAAAATTGCCGTCTCAAGGAAGTAGAATTTGCAGGGACGGAAACCGTCGTTGGCGCAGCTGGCTGGGAGTCAGCTGCATTAAGATCACTACTGACTGAAAGGTCATGAGTTCGAAGCCAGCCCGGGTTGGAGTGAGCTTCTGACCAAATTTGTGTAGCTTGCTGTCAACCTTTGCAGCCCGAAAGACAGTTGCATCTGTCAAGTAGGAAATTTAGGTACCGCTAATGCGGGGAGGCTGTGTGGAAAAATTTAAGAAGCCCTGATCTAGAGAGCTTCTTTAAACCATTCAGAAGACCACCTTCAATAAAACAGCCTTTTAAATATTTAAAGATGGCCATCATATCACCACCTAAGCATCTCTTCTCCATGCTAAACATACCCAGCTCTCTAGGCTTTTTATCGTTTTGGTGGCCTTCCTCTGGACATGCTCCACCTTGTCAATATCTTTACTGAACTTTTTGTACAGTGCTATATCATAAACTGGTAAACGATTGCTTTGCTGGTGACATTCCCAGTGAAGTCAAGGCAGTGTACTTAATTTCTTAATTAATCTGCTAATTTTCATTTAAGAAACCTAATCTATATAAATAAAAATGTAATGTTTATTTGTGAGATTAACATAACTCAAAAACCACTGCACAAATTGACACGAAATTTGGACACAATACACCTAATAGTCCAACAAGTGTCCATCACCCCTAAACATACACACACAAAACCCCAGCGGAATAGACTTAAAACCCCCTAAAATACACCATATATACAGATACACATACACTCATATACATATACACTTGCACACATTCACACACACATGTATATATACATACACACATATACATATACAAATATACATATAAACATACATGTACACATACATGTATATATACAAACACACACAAACACACAAATATACACATATACATACACAAATATACATATACACACATATACATATACACATGTACACATACATGCACATATACATGTATACACATACATACACACAAATATGCATATAGACAAGCACGCATATACTCAATATGCATTTACACATATAAACACACAAATACACACACACATATATACACCCATACACATACACACATACATACATATACATACACACACATACACAAATATATACACACACACATAAACACATATATACACAAACAAAAACACATATACACAGACAGGGCCACAGCAACGCGTGGCAGGGGATGGCTAGTGACACACTAAAACAGTAGGAATGTGGGAGTTGGAAGCCCAAGTTTGCCCAAGCCTGGTCTAGACCATTGAAGGAATGTTTTGACTATTTCTTAATAGAAATGAGAGCGAAACCGTAGACCGTTGATTATACCACACTTACCTTTTACAGGTCGGCTCTGACTCTGTTTCAGAACTGAGGTTAAGTAGCAAGGAGACGAAGAACCACTGAAAGAGAGGGAAAGGAATCCCAAGGTTTACATTCATTTTCATTCCATCTCACCATTTAATTTTAATCCCACCAGTCTGGCAGACTGGGACTCACCAATACAAAATCCCAATCAGCTATCATATTAAAACTGTATCAAAGTAACTATATTTTTGAAAACAAGTGGAAATCGGTGATAAAAAATGAAGAATCAAAACACCGAGAATCCAATGGTTTTTGCTAATCAATGTGAAACTCACTTGTTTTAACCATACTTGACCATTTTACTAGTTTCTATCACATTGTAATTGCTGCAATAGTAGGCAGTAGAGTTTTTAAAAACAGATGACTACCTACTTATTTAACAGAAAACATGCATATGTCAAGGTGTGCAGTTTTGAGGGAACTAGTCCATATTAAGTGAATTCAATTCTATGGACTTCAAGTTCTGAAGTTTTCCCATATTTTCTTCGAAGTGGACCTTAGAACATAACCCATAAGTCAATTCTCTATATCCATGGATTCTGCATCTGTGGATTCAACCATTGAAAATGTATTTAAAAAAATCTAAAAAGCAACCTTATTTTTGCTATTTTATCGAAGAGATACTTAATATGGCATTGTATATATTGGGACTTGAGCATCTCCAAATTTTGGTATCCTGGAGCCAAACTCCAATGGATATCAAAGGTCCACCATACTAGGCAGGGTGTAAAAATAATATATTGTATACATTCTTGAATTCATATATTACAAGCAGTCCAGTGTCTTGAGGACTAAAACCTCTGTAAATGAGACTTTGAACAGTAGCTCTGGGCTCTCACTTCTTTCACTTTCACTCCACCTTGTTCTAAACCAGTGGTTCCTAACCTTTTTTTTTTTTTTGACCAGGGGCCATTACTCTCCTATCCCTTCCACTGAATTTTTGTGCTTTCCCATAGCTCTATCTAGGAATTTTTCACAACCTCAGAGCCCTCTGAACTCAGCACTTTTATTGCTCCCATAGTAATGTTTTTATGATGTTATGTTTTATTGTGATATGTCTCTATTTGGTTTTCTTTTCTTTTATTGCATTACTGGACTCATCGCTGAGCCTGGAACCCCAGGTCTCAGCGGTGGCCGGGAGAGCTTTTGCACAATTAAAACTTGGGAAGTCGGATCTGGCCATGGTGGTCCACGCTCTTGTTACATCCCGAATAGATTACTGCAACGCACTCTACGTGGGGTTGCCTTTGAAGACTGTTCAGAAACTTCAACTAGTCCAACGGGGCGGCAACTAACTCACCGAGCGTCATACAGGGAGCATACACCCCTCTGTTATGTCAGCTCCACTGGCTGCCGATCCAGTTCCGAGCATAATTCAAAGTGCTGGTTTTGACCTACAAAACCCTATACGGCTCCGGCCCAGCGTACCTGTCCGAACGTATCTCCCTCTACGTCCCACCTCGGATTAAGATCTGCTGGGGAGGCCCTGCTCTTGGCCCCACCTTTATCCCAAGCGAGACTGGTGGGGACGAGGGACAGGGCCTTCTCGGTGGTGGCCCCTCGCCTGTGGAATGCACTCCCGGGGAAATTAGGACATCAACATCCCTCCTCTCCTTCAGAAGGATGCTAAAGACCTGGATGTGGGACCAGGCTTTCGGGTAAGCTGGCAGATGGACAAGGACAACCAATAATGACCAGAGTAGGAAAGGCAATGACAATGCAAAATGGTTTAAGGACTTTGGATTTGGTGAACATTGACCACTAGATGTTTTATTGATGCTAGTATACTGTTGATTGTTTTAATTAGTTATAACTGTGATAGTATATGGTAATTTGTGTATTGTATATTGTATTGTATTTTGTAACTGTCGGCATCGAATTGTGCCTTTTGTAAGCCGCCCTGAGTCCCCCCTAGGGGGTTGAGAAGGGAGGGGTAGAAGCACCCCAAATAAATAAATTACGTTTTAACTCTGTTCTCTAGGCTTGTCTCTTTGTAAGCTGCCCCGAGTCCCTTCAGGGAGATGGAGGCGGGGTATAAAAATAAAGTTATTATTATTATATTATTATATTAATTATTTTCTCTATTTTTTCTTATTATTACATTTATTATTTTACCCTATTATTATAATTACATGTATTATTTTACTCTATTATTACATTAATTATTTTACTTTATTATTATTGGAAGGATAATTTTTTGTGGTAAAATTAGGTTCCTCAGCTTATATTCGGGCCGGCTTATACTCAAGTATCTACGGTAAATGAATGCTTTTCATGAGCTATGTTATGTGCCTATACATTCCATTATTACAATTTATGTATGTATCTGTATTTCTAATAAGTGGTTAGTTTAACCTTCGAATTGCCAATAAAATTGAATTACTGTGCCGCAAAATGACTTGGAAGGCGTATAACAATCACACTGGCCAACACATAGTTTGGTGCCTCCCATGTTAAGAGTATATCTGACCTGCTGGCTCCTAAAATGGGAAGCAATTTTCCCATATCAGCCCTAGCGTTTGAGATACAGAACATTTAACATCTACCACTCTTCATCTGCTCATCCTTAAAACATCATGATAGACCACTAGAGCTAATGTGGTCTATCCAAAGTAATTTTCTGAATCAATGTCCCAGATAACTCCAGACACAGGCCTAAAAACCATGACACCAATTTTGTTTTGTTTTGTTAGGTTGTAGAAGTTTGTTGGGTTGCATAAATGAAGACTTTGGACCTTTTTCATACAGAACCCATGCTTGCTACCACTGAGCTATACTCTCCAACCTAAAATGAAATGACAACTTTGAGCAACAGATTTACTAAGGTCAACAATCTCCAGAGATCAAATCCACAAAAGTAAAAACCCATAAATGTTGGGGTGTGACTGTATTTGACTGTGTCTGGACAACACTATCCTTCATCAAGACTTGACGTGACATTCCATGCTCCACCTGAGCCTTAATATTATATATTTTTAAAGATCGAGCCTACCTCAGTGGTGATGCCGGTGGGGTATAAAACGCAAATGCGGAAGGAAACGGTTGCTTCTTCAGAGCTTGTATAAGGTTTGGTTTATATTCTGGGTCCACACACCATAGAGAACCTTTGCCATTCACCTAGGAAATAACAAAGCAGGGATTCTGGTTACAAAGGTGTTTTTTTTTTTCCAAATTAGAGCTGATGTCAATCCAAAGATTACACTAATTGGCAAGATCAAAATGAGGTCTTCAAGATCCCACCCAACCACAGAACCCCAGTGCCATCATTAAATGATGATTGCTCCTTCCATGTCTGACAAATTTCAGGATCTCTGGACTTCTACTAAAAGTAAAAAACTAGGTCACAGTTCTCATTTGCAAGAAATAAACAAAAAATACAACCTGAGAGTTGGATATAGCAAACTTTGGCCCTCTAGGTGTTTTGGACTTCACCTCCCAAAATTCCTAACAGCCGGTAGGCTGTTAGGAATTGTGGGAGGTGAAGTCCAAAACACCTGAAGGGCCAAAGTTTGCCCATGTCTGGGATATAGGGTACTGATGGTTCCTAAGCTCTCCTTCGTTCTGAATAGGGTAGCCATAGCAGCAGTCCCTCTGGGTTGGAAATGCTGCTGCTTCATGCCAGGTTAGTGAACAGGAAAACAACTGCCATTCAAGACTTCATCCTGGATGAGCATGCCAACCTGGTCTAGATCACAGAAGACTGCTCAGATGAGGCAAAACGTGGGGGTTAATTCTTGAATCCTATAGTTGGAAGAGACCCCATGGGCCATCCAGTTCAGTCCCGTTCTGCCATGCTAACACTATCAAAGCACTTCCAACAGAGCCCTTACTTGGATCGGGAGAGGGGAAAGTGTGTCTTTCTGTCTGTCTGAATCCGGAAGTCCCAGAGGAGTTTGGCGTGTTCATTTTCTGTAACTTTTTCTGGCTTGTGATCCCACCAGTTCTTTGTCACAGGCAGCAGATGGTATTTGTGGCACAAGTTCCAATGAATCATCTCAGCAACGGTGTTATGCCTCTGCTTGTAGTCTGTCTGCGTGAGCTTCTTGCAGTAGCTGAGGATGTGATCTTTTGTTTCATCTGCTTCCTTGCAGAGTCTACATTTGGGATCTGTCATTGACTTTTCAATTCTTATTATTATTATTATTATTATTATTATTATTATTATTATTATTATTATTATCATCTGAGGAGTCATTTGCAATCTGGATATGCAACTATTCCAAGCTTTGCCAACAACACAGATACTATAGACATGTTAACTACTTGCCACTTAACACGAAAAGCAGTAAATCTTCCAGCATGAGTGCAAATGGAAGAATGCAGTACACCAGAATATACAGATAGACATCTGGATGATTTGCCGCAGATCCAAAAGGACCGTTACTAGTTTAATAAACAACTATTTGGACAAAATAAGATTATTTGACTTGAAAAGGGGGCCAGCCCAGTGTACGGCTCCTTGGGCTTTGACAGAGAACCGACTCTACGTCCAAGCTACCATTTTGTAGCGAACTTTAGCTGCTGAGCTGTAGGCTTTTAGAAATAAAGCAAAACTGATCTCATAAGCCTTGGGTATATTGGTTAAATTGCTGCACAGGGAGATCCAGGAGTGAGTCCCCACTGAGCCAGGCAGCTCACTGGATTACCTGGGCTAAGGCCAATTTGTCCCAATATTGTCTTTGACGTCCCTCATAGGTTTATAGTGAGGATAAAGCAAGAAAGAAAGCTCTGCCTGCTGGTTTAAGATCAGTGGAGGGAAGGAAGGATAAATAGAACTGATAAATAATAAATTAAGCCCAAACTCTTCATCCTCTGCTCTACCAAGTTGAACCCAAGTTGCAATATAAAACGGCCGACAAGCTCCCCAAACCTGGCTTGGATGGCTCACTTCTTCTTGTCTGTAATTCAAGGAAAGGAGAATTTGCATCCACATTTCAACTAACTTCTCAGCCTCAAAAACACTTGCTGGAAGCCAGCATCATTTAGAGCCAACTCGAGCTTTGAAAGCACGGAAAGATACGATTAATAGAGTAATTCCTTAATAGCAGGTTTGCTTGCTAATTGGATTTTATGTGGAGTGGTCTGGTATAAAAGGGTGTTTAAGGCTTATTGCAGGCATTCATCCATGGTCATCCAGCTCTTTAGGCTATGAATTAGCAGCGGCTACTCCAAAACGGGGATGATTTCTCCTATTTGCATTCCAGTCGTATTTCCAGATGTGCCGTTATTTACACGGGCTGTCTACTGATGGGCTGAGAAGAAACTAGGAACCTGGGGGGCCTCCAAATGCTCCCGGCCTACAACTACTGTTGACACTTGCCACAAACTATGATCTAGATCAGGGCTTCTTAAAACTTTTCCATTCTGACTCCTTTCACCCTGAGATTTTTTTTTTTTACATGACTCCAGGTATATCTATAGAAATAAAAATGTAATGTTCGTTTGTGCTATTCACAGAACTCAAAAACCACTGGACGAATTGACACCAAATTTGGACACAAGACCCCTAACAACCCAATGTATGTCCTTCACTCAAAAAATTGATTTTGTCATTTGGGAGTTGTAGTTGCTGGGATTTATAGTTCACCTACAATCAAAGAGCATTCTGAACCCACCAACGATGGAATTGAACCAAACTTGGCACACAGTTCTCCCATGACCAACAGAAAATACTGGAAGGGTTTGGTGGGCAGTGTCCTTTGGTTTTGGAATTGTAGTTCACCTACATCCAGAGAGCACTGTGGACTCACGCAGATGACGCCAGAAAAGGCGGGCCTGTGTCCTACATTCCTGTAGGTTATTCCCCATTTTGGGGCAAAAACCCGCGAAACAGCAAAAATACCGCAATAAATATTTTACATTAAAATTAGTGAAAAACCGCGAAACAGCGAGTTCGCAAAAAGCAAACCACAAAGTAGTGAGGAAACGTTGTAGAAGTCAAACATTTATTGATAATAAACCAGCATTTGCAAGGCTTGAGAAACAAGCTGATTTTCCTTTTTATTTATGAAGTACAGCTGAAGCATTTTCTGCAGAGTCCAATGTAAACACTGCACAACAAAATGAAAGGTTTTTATTAGATGCTGTATGTTGTGTTTGCATACATTTTCATTATTACAATTTATGTATGTGGTCATATAACTTCCAAGAGGTTGGTTTAACCTCCAGTTTACTAGTAAAACAGAACTACTGTGTTGCGAAATGATGCATGTGTGCCATAAAAATGTGTCACCAACACTTAAAATTTGGAAAGTTCTGCTCTAGAGAGCTGCCATTTTGCTCATTACATAATCCAGCTCTAGCTTCCAAATGTAATACAACTATAACTAACGAGAGCTGGAAGATTCTGGGATGAATTCAAAACGTATAACTTCTCCAGTCCTAGCTAAGGGAGTGAAATTATTTACATCAATGACATGAATAGCCATTTGCATCCCCAGAAGTCATCTCAGAAGATAGTTCGACTGATTTCAAGAGATTCTACAAACACTTAGGATAGGCATAGGCTGTTGCCTACACAGGGCAAGTTATAGTTCTTATATTTGTTTGTATGATGCGGCATCAAATTGTTGCCGGTTGTAAGCCACCCTGAGTCCCCCCTCGGGGGTTGAGGACGGGGTATAAATGTTGGAAATAAGTAAATAAATACATTTGGGATACCTCCAACCCAGAGGTGTCCTGGATCTAGCTTATGTCCGAACAGTCCAGTCCGTCCTCTTACTGACCCATCCTCGTCTCACCATGTGGCCACCGCTTCTCTCCATTGGCCACTGAGCTCCTTGTGAGTACTTTACTTAGGTGATCCCTCATTGGCCGAGTAAGATAGTCTTCCAGGATCAGTATTCTTGTAGATCCATAGGTGGCTGTGGAGCCCTATTCTTGACCTGCAATTTCTCCCACAGTGAGGGTATTGGTTTCCAGGTGGAAGGCGGTCTCGGTCGGGGTTGGCTTGATGCGCCTTCCTCCTGGCACATTTCTCTCTTTCACCCTCCATTCGTGCCTCTTCAAATTCTGCAGCACTGCTGGTCACAGCTGACCTCCAGCTGGAGCGCTCAAGGGCCAGGGCTTCCCAGTTCTCAGTGTCTATGCTGGAGTTTTTAAGATTGGCTTTGAACCCATCTTTAAATCTCTTTTCCTGTCCACCAATGTTCCGTTTTCCGTTCTTGAGTTCGGAGTAGAGCAACTGCTTTGGGAGACGGTGGTCAGGCATCCGGACAACGTGGCCGGTCCAGCGGAGTTGATGGCGGAGGACCATCACTTCAATGCTGGTGGTCTTTGCTTCTTCCAGCACGCTGACGTTTGTCCGCTTGTCTTCCCAAGCGATTTGCAGGATTTTCCGGAGGCAGTGCTGGTGGAATCATTCCAGGAGTTGCATGTGACGTCTGTAGACAGTCCACGTTTTGCAGGCATATAGCAGGGTTGGGAGGACAATTGCTTTATAGACAAGCACCTTGGTATCCCTACGGATGTCTTGGTCCTCAAACGCTCTCTGCTTCATTAGGAAAAATGCTGCACTCACAGAGCTCAGGCAGTGTTGTATTTCGGTGTTGATGTTGACTTGTGAGTACTTGGCCATCAACTGTATGCTGACATTTTAACATGATACTCATGCAATCAGCAGGTTCCCTTAGCTCTATCTAGGAATTTTGCACAAACTCAGAGCCCAGCACTTTTGTTGCTCCCATGATACTGTTTTCATAATGCTATGTTTTATTGTGGTATGTTTCTATTTGGGTTTTTTTTGTTTTTATTTTATTACATTACGTTTTAACACTGTGCACTGGGTTTGTCCCTTTGTAAGCTGCCCTGAGTCCCTTCAGGGAGATGGAGGAGGGTTATAAAAAAGAACTTATTATAATATTATTATTAAAACTTGGGTAATAAAGGATATGTGTGCCAAGTTTGGTCCAGATCCATCACGTCATCTAGAAGCCATCACAGAACACACATATGTATAGGGGGGGGGGGGGATACACATAGAAACATGTATACATATTTTCACTTTTATATGCATTGACATATCCTATATATTAGAATTGTCTTTGCAATTAGCATAGTTAGTACCATTAGTCACAGAAATCATTACTTATCAGATCCAATCTATTGGCTCGTATTTG